AGAGTATGTGGATTTAGTGGGTTAGGTTTAGTGGAGTAGGTTTAAGTGGGTGAAGTAGGTGGAGAGTATGTGGATTTAGTGGGTTAGGTTTAGTGGAGTAGGTTTAAGTGGGTGAAGTAGGTGGAGAGTAGGTGGATTTTAACAGTCTTTGTTTTGAAAAATTTCCAATTAATTTTTTTAGCATGAGAACATGAGTTCAAGTTTCGGGCAACCATGTGGATGTGGTATACAGATAATGCTGAAGGAATAGTGGCTTTTTAGTGGGTTTGTTGACTGGTCATTGGAATCTGATCAACATTGGATAGTACCTTTTTCTTTTGCTTTCCTTATTTGGATTCAAACAACAATTATATTTTATTTATTTGTTTTTACCTATAAAATATAAAAAGAATAATTGAATAGGGATGCTTAGAGGCACATGCTTTGTTGGTGTTTCATTCATGAATAATTGTATTGTGGGTTAAAAAATTAGCCTAGATTTTCATTTGTCATTAAAAATAATTAAAATGCAGCCTGTTCTTAATACAGATTGCATCCAGGTTGTATGGCTCAAGTCCAGGATAAGGAATTGGTTGTTGCTTTTGTGGTAAATGGAATGCCATTTGAACTTTAAGTCAATTTAGACGCTTACTTGGGTATTATGAGTTGTGTATAGATCTTCAATCTCATCTTCATTCTATGGTGCACATTTTATTTGTAACAAGTTTTGCTCTATTCTTTAAGATATCAGTGCACTTTTTGAAATTGGTTTATTGAAGTTTTAGGCTTAAAGTTCAATAAAACTGGTTTGACTGGGTTTGTTTTTGAATTTGAGTAGTAAGAATGGCGTCGGGTGGTGTTGCAATTAGTCCAATCCGGAACACGAATGCACTTCCTCCTGGTTACTATGAAAAGGTCATTGATACTCTTCACTTGTGTTGTGTGTGGTGGGGATAGGGATAGGGGTAGAGAGAGAGAGAGGGAGAGAGAGAGAGAGAGGAGTCCATGCTGCTCCAAGGAAGGACTGAACAGAAGAGCATGGACTGCTCTAGAAGCTAGAATACTTGCAGCTTATAAAGCTCATGGAGAAGGCAAATGGAGAAACCTCCCAAAGAGAGCTGGTACCTTCTTTTTTTTCCCTTTTTTTCTTCTTCTCCTCTTTATGTTTTCTTCTACTCATTCTTCAATTATTGTCTCTTGATAGTTTACACTTGAAAATTATCTTAGTTTAATACTCGTGTTAAGGTAAATCAAATTAAAGCTATTGGCTTGGAAATTGAATTATTTATTTATTCTTAAATGATGTCAACATGTTTAATTTTTAATGAATTTCCTTCTTGATATTATTTGTGATAGTAGTTTAGGATAGTTGGAACAAATATTTCAAACTGTTAACGGGCAAATAGATCTGAAACAGAGTGTTTGGAAACACTAATATGTATTATGTTTGTGATTTATATAAACTAACATATTACATTATCATAATGTGGACAGGTACAAGGAAATGATAGGGTTGTTACAAATGGTAAGGTTCAAATGGATTGGGTTAGAGCTATATCGGAATATGCTTAAATTTTATCTCAAGTTGCTAGGTTTTCCAAAGTGGGAGCTAAGCTAAGCATTTTATTGTTTCTGCTGTCATCTATGAAAATTCAAGCAATACGCTATCGGTTTCCACTCATCCTTGTTGGAAGCTTGATATACAATCTTGGGTTCATTTCCTAACGACATAAACTATTGTGATGGTATCATAGCTCTTAAATCCAAGGTGGTCTGATTTAGTTTGTGTGTTTCTTTGGTTACCTCTTCACATGTGAGATGGCATCACATGTGAGGGTTGTGTAGGAAGCTTGCTATATATTGTTGGGTTCATTTCCTAACATATTAATCTTTTGGGACAATGATGACTCTACAATTCTGGAAGAGGAGAGTGAGTGGTCCCCTAAAGAGAGAATTTATGTCTGCAGGAAGCCATGGAGATTATGGTTGCTTGCTCTGCAATGGCTTTAGCAAAAAGGAAACAATCAAAAGGAGGAGATAACCAATCACTAGACAGCTCTTGAGACAAGTGGAATTGTGGAGGTATAATAGGAGCAGCTGCATTAACCGGAGGAACCTTAATGGCAATTATTGGTGGTATCACATCTTTAGCTTAGTCTTTTGAATATTTTAAATGCCATTGGCCAACAAGCTTCTAATGACGTGAGTTTTTTTTCCTGATGAATTTATATTTTATTGGCAAGAGGGTTAGTTGCTCCAGTTATTGCCACGGGTTTAGGTGCCTTAGCACATACATTGGGCACCCTTGTCCTTGTGATAGTAGCAAGCGGGTTTGCTGTCGGAACTGTTGCCGGTAGTTTTGGATCTCTAAATAGTTTTGGATTAACCTAGATATGCATAGCTTTTGGATGGTTTGAACTTTTAGAACTTGAGGATATAGTTTTTGAATTTTGGAATGTATAAACAATTGTTAAATGTTCATAATTTATGGATATAGTTTATTTTTTATGCTTGAAACAATGTTTTGGTGGTTGATTAATGTTTTGTGAAGCTTGTTTGTAATGTTTGTTAGATTGTTCAAAAAATGAGTTTTTACGGCACCAAATGAACGCCGTGGAAACGATTCTACGACGTGCAAGGTAAAGCCGTATTATGACCAGTCATAGAAAGCCATTCACTTCAACGGCATGTCGTAGTATGCCGTTAAGAATCCTTTAACAGTGGATGGCCTCGGTCCTTGTTTGCAGTGTAACAATTAATAATTGTTTATATGTTCTGATATTTTGACTAATATTTCTGCAAATTTAGGTCTAAACATGTCGACTATGACAATTTCTTCTCCTTGCATGTTCAAAAGTGCACCCACAACAAAATCTTGTGCATTGATTAAGAATCCCCACTCTTTGTGTTCCTTTAAGAGTGTTTCTAAAGCGTTTGGCTTGAAATCTTTATCCTTCTTCAGAGTATCGGCCATGGCAGTGTTCAAAGTGAAGAAGCTAATTGGACTGGATGGCCAAGAGAGTGAGTTTGAGGCTCTTGACGATGCATACATCCTTGACTCAGCTGAAAATGAAGGACTTGAGTTGCCATACTTGTGCAAGGCAGGGGTGTGCTCTACGTGTGCCGGGCTGATGGTTTTTGGATCGGTTGTGCCGGGCTGATGGTTTCTGGATCAGTTGACCAAGCGGATGGATCGTTCCTCGATGATAAACAGATGAAGAAGGGGTATGTGTTGACTTGTATCTCATACCCAACTTCTGATTGTGTGATTCACACCCATAAGGAAACTGAGCTATATTGAGTAATGTTTTATGGGGAAATTTGTAGCTACATGGCTATATGTTGTTGGTTATTTAGGCATGGGACAATGTCTTTTATCAGTGTTTCTTTGTTTAGCATTAAACCCAATATTTGTCCAAATTTAAATGCTTTTGAGTATGAAGTGGTGGTTATAGTGGTGATTCCTCTCATGCTCTGCCTCTCTGGCAGAAACAATAAATTTAAAAAGGAAAAAATAAATAAATAGAGTGCTTGATGCATTTGGGTTTTTTGTTTGTTTGCTTAAAATTCTATTTAACGAGGAACCTCTCTAAGAAAGGACTTTTCGACAGGCTCTTGTAGGATGAATTTTAGTCAGGGAATTCGAACAATGGTTGGTTGTGGTGTGGAGAGAAGTGAAACATGTAGTAGTTGGATGAATTTGAGTCACGGAATTCGAACCACAGTCGGTTGTGGGGGAAGTGAAACAGTAGAAGGTGTGATGTATGGTGTCAACTTAGGTTTAAATAACGGGTATCTGAATATGTATTGGTATTGATGATTTGGTTATGAAAGTATGTCTTTTAATTTAAACCGTTAATAGACTTGATAGTGCATTTCAGTTCATAAATTATAAAAAATTATGTATTTATTTCTATTGACAAGGAATTATTTACGTATGAGCTAAACCATTGCCACAACCAACATACTTTACCCATTTTCCAACCACTCAATGCCATCACCAACACCAACACCCTACTCCCCGTCTGTGACACTTCCAACTGTCACCCCTACTCTATCACCACCATCACCCTCCACTCAATGCCATCACCAATACGCTCATCCCCCTCCGCGACTCTTCCAACAGTCAGCCCTACACTATCACCACCATCACCCTCTTTCTTGACCCTTCACCTGCCACCACCAAAACCCTTCTCTCCCTCTACCATCCCCTCTCCAAGCCCCACCCCTCTGCTGCCACCACCAACACCCTCTTCCCTCTTCCCCAACCCTGCCATTCCCACTCCTCTATTGCATCCACTAGTACCCTCTTCCCATGATGTATACAGCGCAAAATGTGGATTTGGAAGAAACAAATAAACGTCTTGCAATATCTATTTGTGACAACCACATTTCCTATTGATTTGTTGTCGCTACAAATTTATTAAAAAATGTGTTAATAAGAAATTTTAAATGAAATTTGGTGGGATTTTCATTAATTGGTAATATTGTCACCTAATATTATCGTTATATGTGTGCATCTTATTCCTCAAGTTTGAAAATTTGTTTGTATTAAGGCCCATTTTGGCAACGAAAAAAAGGTCGCCTCTTTTTTCAATTTTTTGTATTTAGCGATTTTTTTTCAATATTTAAATTATGTCTAAATTTTTTACTTTTCCGTCAGTCTTGTCGAGACTAATTTAAAAACTATATTTTTTTTTGAAAAATTTTAGAAAAAAATCACTAAAGACAAATAACGCAAAAAAGATTGCTTATTTTGGCTTGTTTTTGTCTTTTTTGAATTTTTTCTAAAAAAATTATAATTTTCCGATTTGTCTTGTCGAGCTGAATTTAGAAACTTAAATTTTTTTAAAAAAATTCACTAAAGACAAAAATAAGTCAAAAGAAAAAAGGCAAAAAATGCACATCCCAAAACACCCCTAGTTGTGTTGCATTTGATTTTCATAACGATTATAATGAATTGGGTTGATTGTAATATCATTAATTAATTAATAACAAATAAAAAAACAGTTACTCAGTTGGATCACTAACAGTAGACGTAAGTGATTTACTACTAGTAGTGAAATACAACAATTGAATGACAATGATTCTGAAGAGAGACTAAAATAGGAAACAAAGTGTATCCAATTCACTATAGTGATGGCAAAGTGGAATTCCAGTCAAACTGGTCCAAATCAAACAGATCATCATCGGCAACATCTAGCTGTTGTATTACTGGAGTAGCTGCCAAAGTGGAATCCCAAACAAACTGGTCCCAATCAAAGTGGCCACCATCATCAGCTTGAGCTTGCTCTTGTTGTATAACTGCTGCAGTAGGTTGCTCTTCTTGTTGTATAACTGGAGTAGCTGCCAAAGTGGAATCCCAAACAAACTGGTCCCAATCAAAGTGGCCATTATCATCAGCTTGAGCTTGCTCTTGTTGCATAAATGCTACAGTAGGTTGCTCTTCTTGTTGTATAACTGTAGTAGCTGCCAAAGTGGAATCCCAAACAAACTGGTCCCAATCAAAGTGGTCATCATCATCAGGTGGAGCTAGCTCTTGTTGTATGACTGCTGCAGTAGGTTGCTCTTCTTGTTGTATAACTGTTGCAGTAGGTTGCTCTTCTTGTTGTATAATTGGAGTAGGTTGGTCGTCTTCGACGGAGTAATGATCAATGTCGAAATCATCAACTGGTTGCTCTTGTTGTTCGATTTCTGCCCTGCGACGCTTCATTTTGATCGCACATAGGACATAGTTTTTGTCCTGCAACCATAAATATAAGTGTTATAGTAATTATTTGTAATATGCAAAAAAATATGTAAATGACTTTTGAAAAAAAACTTTGAAATTTAACATGAAAGGTTAAACTAGCAAAGACAAATGTCATCACAAATGTAAATTACCCCAATTTTAGGCATGAAATAAACATAAGTACAAGAAAGATAACCAAATACTTGATTAAGAAGTTTAGATAGTATTTCATAGTAACTCTGAGTACAGATAAAATCTTGCCCAAAACTGTTTTTTTTTCTTGTCCAAAACCGTTTTTTTTTTTTTTTTTAAATTTTAAACTAGAAAAATGGGAAGGATATGAGTTTTGCAAATGAGGGACAAAAAAGCAGAGGAGGTGAAAAAAAATAAAAGGGTTCAGGAGCTGTAGAGTTGGGCTGTAAATTGCTGCCAACAAACGGAAACCATATCTTGTCTATTCCTCAAATTTTCAAGATTTATGCTATTCGGAAAGATTACTAAATTTAAAAGTTGCTAAAGTTGTCTTTTAAGTTTTTCATAGTAAAAGTTACAAAGTTTTGAAACCATGCAAGTGTTGTATTCGTATATTATTGTGTTTCGATTATAAATTTGAGTAAATTAAAAAAAAGAAAAGAAAAAGATTAGTGAAACCCCTTTTTGATTGAGTTTAATAATTTAAATAAACTTTTTCTGACAATTTTACTTATTGAAAATAAACAAATAATTTAAATTAAAAATAAATCAAAAGATTATGATTTAAATTTTAAAAATAAAAAATAAAAAAATTAAGGGTTCATTTTGTTACAAAACTCAAATTCTAATTTTTTTATTTTGAACATTTATGTGTGTGTGACATGCACCCATAACCCCTAAAAAATTTCATTAGAAAACAACAATAAAAACATAAATCATCTAAACATGTGTGAATGATCTGTCTCTATGATCTGCACTATATCTTTGTTCTGTTATGTGATAAGACCTATATGTCATGATCAGCACTATATCTTTATTTTATCATGTGATAAAACCTATATATCATGATCTGCACTATATCTTTGTTCTGTCATGTGATAAGTTGTGTGTGTGAGTTTGATGAAACTACCACATATCATATGGATGATGATCAAACCTCTTTCATTGAACAAAACAACAACATAAAGACAAATAAAATCAAAAAACAATAATTAATCAGAAACATAGAACTAGAGAGAAAGAACTCACTTTGATCAGTTGATCATCTTCCAGAGAAACACCTTCAAGGCTGTACTCCTTCATGTCCCACACACTGTGTTCACTCGATTCTCTGTTGATATAATCGAAACTTCGCTTGCGTCCAGTAAGCCTTCCGTCATTGTCATGAATAGGCTTGCCTCTGTCGAGTCCCTTCCATGTACCCTTCCCCACCATGCGATCAATCCTTTTTCCTTTCCCATTCTTCTTCTTCAACTCCGTAAAATAATAATACAACTTCGATCTTGTTCTCATTTTGCTGAATATCTTCGACAGTTCTTGATCGTCGTAGAGATTGCATTCATTCACTAAACCCTCTACCGGTAATGGCTGTCCTTTGGCCTTTGCTCTCAGATAATGAAGAACAAGTTCTTTGTCCGTTGGTATAAATTTGTATCCTATTGCAATCTTGGCTGCCATTGCTGATTTTTTTTGAGAAACAAAGTAGTCGAAAAAAGTAACACAGAGACTACAGATTTTTTTTTTTTTTTTTCTTTTCTTGGGAAATACTAAGAATTTGAGGGAGATTAGATTATGGAAACAATATGAGAAAGTAAAGTGAGAAGAGAGTAATATATAGGCTTTGAGACTCAACCGACTATGTTTTTGAAGTGGGGTAGTCTTTGGTTTTAGATGAATTTCTTTCTTCAGTAATAAGTTTGCTTGCATTACAAATGCTATCTTCTGTGATAAATGAATATAAGACTGATTTTATTATTATCAAATGCTATCTTCATGCATGGACTTTGTTTCCTATTTTAGTTTCTCTAAAAATCATTGCCATCCGATCATTGTAATCATGTAACTGTCGAATCTTAGCTATCCAACCCTTTTTTTATTTTTTTATTAATTAATGATATTACAATAAAGAGAGATTTGGTCAAAACTCTCTCATAATAAAATTCTAATGCATTAAGAATAACCATAAAAGGTTTTCCTTAAAAAATCTAACACATACCACTATCAGTAAAATATAATTAGTGAATAATTTAATATTTTAAATTTTAAAATAATATAACTTTTGATTTAAATGTCAATTTTTTAAAATATTAGTATTTTTAAAATTCTCTCATCGTGATCTATCAAATAAAATCTATGTTGACTATGAAATTCTTCAAAAACAATAATAAAAAAATATCATCGAAATTGATGTAAATAATAATATGTTACTCTGTCTTACTCTAATTCACAGTAACATTTTGCTGTTACAAAAAACAAAGTACATATTAGATGAACCAACCAAAAATACACATACACAATATTTTTAAACTTGTATAAAATAAAATAAAAATGGTCCTCGTCAAAAGAGTTCTGTGATATATATATATCTATGCATGGGCAATATTATCTAAGAAAAAAAATTTACTATGTTCGTACTCAATTATGCGCCTCCTCCTTAGGGAGTTTATGAAGCAAAATAAATTGAATTATCATTTTCACCAAATAAGGATCCAATTGCGGGGTTTTGACTAAAATTAATAATAAGGGGACTTATGTATAGGTCCTAATGGTGGATTTATCGTTCAATAGGTCCTATGATAATTAATAGTAAATATTATCTAAGAAAAAAAATTTACTATGTTCGTACTCAATTATGCGCCTCCTCCTTAGGGAGTTTATGAAGCAAAATAAATTGTATTATCATTTTCACCAAATAAGGATCCAATTGCGGGGTTTTGACAAAAATTAATAATAAGGGGACTTATGTATAGGTCCTAATGGTAGATTTATTGTTCAATAGGTCCTATGATAATTAATAGTATTTTTCATCAAACATTATTAAAAAAATCACTAATTGTTAATTTTTCATGACAGTTTGAAAATTTTATGATAAAAAATGTTACTAATTATAAGTTTAGCAACAGTTTTAAAAAATTGTCATAAAAAAAGTTATTAATTTTCTACTTTTAGGGACAGGTTGAAAAATTCATCACAAAAACGTCATTAATTATAAGTTTTAGCGATAATTTATAAAAATCGTGATAAAAAAAAGTTACTTATTGTCAATTTTTTACCACATATGGTAAAAAATCGTCATAAAAATTATTTTTAGTAACGATTTTATTATGACTTATTTTTAATAGGACATGATATAAATTAAATCTAACTATTAAAACCTATTAATAATTTACCCTTAATAATAATCATTATGCCTATCTAAGAAAAAAAATCACTATGAAAATCAAACACAACACAATTAATACAAGGAGTTTTCTTAATACAAATAAATTTCCAAACTTGAGGAATAAGACACATGTACACTAAACAAAAAAAAACATTGCTAGTCAAAAGTCAATATTTAGTCATCAAAAGCTATAGTAACATGAAACCTAAACTAACACTGCCCAATATTTCTCTGTCTTCTATTGTAGCATATTTGGTGATTAAATATTTTTTTACTCGTTAATAATTAATATACCTTGATTAAAAAAAAGTAGTAGTAAAATCAATGCCAACCAATTTAATTTTTTGTCGTTAACTATATAACTTTTAGCTAAATTTCTTTTAATCGCCAAAAGTGTAAATTGTTGTAGTGTGAGAAGATTCGAATCATGAACCTCCTAATGAGGTGTAAGAGCATCTCCACCCGATATGTCAATTTCAACATGACAGTCCAACAGTTCTATTTTGGTTGCCAGAATGAACTCAACCCGATATGTCAAAAGCTGACATGACTTTGGCATCATCCCTTCATGTCAATTTTGATATGTTCCCTACTTCAGGCCTTTTCTTTTTTCTTTTCTTTTTTTTTTTCAAATAAAAGAAGACCAACAATACACAATTTGTGGTTATCAGTTCCCACGTCATGCAGGATTTTTTTTACCAACGGTTAATATTATTTGAAAACCAACCTGTCTTGTCATGAACGGTAATTACTGTTGTAAATAAAATATTTTTAAATTATTTTTTATTTTATTTTATCATCTATAAATTTGGAGCCCAGCAAAATATTTTTTGAATCATTCAGGGGCAATGCATGTGATTTATAAAGATATTTATGTATTGTCATTTTTTTTTAAATATGTATTGTAATTTTTCTTTTTTCATCAAATTAAAAAAAAAATGTTTAAGTAGCAATGAATAGAAATTTTGAATTTTTAAAAAAAATAATTTTATAAATATAGAATTTATTAAAAAAAATACTATTTAAATGCCATCAAACCTCTTTTAAAAATAAATTTATCTTAATTAGTAAAATAAAAGAATTCAAATTTTAAAAATAATAGAATAATAAATTTAACATATTAGGTAGAGAGCTTCCATGTCAAATTGCCACCTAAGTCTTTAAAAAAAATTGACATCTCTAAGATTGAAGGTTTGAGTAGAAATGCTCTAAGGATTTTAGCCAACAAATTAACCTCGATTGGTTAATACAAGTAAATGTTGAATATAAGATAATATTAGGCAATAATATTATCAATTAGTGAAAATCTCATATTATATTATTGTAGCAATATATCTAACTAATTAAAAAAATATTCCCATATCGCAATAGTGAGACTACATAGTTGAGTTTGTACAATTACTTACTAAATTCATTAACAATTATTTACTAACCGATGAAATCTTAAAGGTTGTTTAGAAAATACTAAATAAATATATTTTTTAATTTTTTATAAAAAAATATTTAGAAAAATAGAGATATGATGTGATTTAGATAAATTAAAAAAATAATATATATATACTTTTTTAGTATATGTCACCATCAAATAGTTAAAGGCTTTTTTTTTTTTTTTGGCAAAAAAATGTTTTGGCAAAAAAATCACTGACATAATCGTGGAATATGGGAAAGGTTGTTGTCACAAATAGATCTCGACATCATTTTGTTTTTACCAGTCTACATTTTATCCCTTTCTTTATTTTCAACAACTCTCCTAGTAACGACATGTCCCATATCAAAAGTTTGTAGAGCTGAAGTTGGGTATATAAAGCACCATTAGTGAATTTTCCGAGTTTGTTTCTTTCAATCAAACCTCTCAATCAAGTAAGATATGGGTCTATTTATATGATCCAAAAGTTTAAATTTATATTGTTAAAATTACAGATACAAACTTTTGATGTGAGACGAATTAATAGTGACCCATTAAGATAGTATTTTCTGTTTGGCGATTCTCTAATTAATGTAAGTATTTCTAGATTTTTTCCCCCAAAATTAATTAGACTTTACTTCACCTTGTATGAACCAATGGTTAGGCATTTTGCATTTATTCTCCATAATAATCATCTTGATCACTAGATTGAGCACGAAGCAAGTCTTTTTAATGGATGACCATTTTTTTTATGAGAACTAGCTCTCTCTCTAACCATCCGATTATGATGTCGACTCCAGCCAGTCTATCAAAGAAAATGGTCCATTGTTCAAAACTTCTATCAATCGAACCGCTAGGGATATCTAACCAATTTTTTGATTTTATTTAAATATATTTGGACCACACACAATTAAAAGCTCCTTCACTGCTCTCATCAAATTGGATGGTCCATGATCGATCCTTGGGCATGTGCGCCATGTGTCCGTACATATATATTGATTAGAATCTAACCATTTCATTTTAAAAAAATAAGATTGTACACCATATAATTGATTAAAATTTAAAAAAATTAAAAATTGAGAGATTTGAAAAAAGAAAAAAATTAGGGCATAACTGTCCATATAACTAATATAAGAATATTTTGAAAAAACTCACCATCTCAAACCTTCCTTTTATAAAATAGAAAGATGAGATGAAATTGAGATTAAATTCCTAGCCTCAGGAGCTTGTAGATCATATACACTCCTTTGCATATTGGACCACCCTTAATTTAAAAGCTTATTTAAATTACTTGTACTTCAAATAAAATAGTTTGAATATTCTAAAGTCATATATGGTAAAGTTAATTATAAAATAAATATTTTATTAGATTAAATTTGTAAGATTTATTATATATTTTTTTTCAAACTTTAAAGAAGATAGTATTATTTACCCTTTAAATATATTTTAGTGAATTTACCTCTAATGTTTGGAAGATTCTAACAATATCTTTGCTTTTCTTTCTTTTTGACTACGTTAGAGAAAAAGAAGCTCTCATTAAGTGGTTGTTTTCTTTTCCAATTATTGGCAAAGAGAGAAGAGTCTTTGTATTCCACTTTGATCAAAGGGGGTCCTCATGAGATTGAGGGAGAGAAAAAGAAGCTCTCATTAAGTGGTTGTTTTCTTTTCCAATTATTGGCAAAGAGAGAAGAGTCTTTGTATTCCACTTTGATCAAAGGGGGTCCTCAGAGCATTATCACTCTCATTGGAGGTTATGCAAAGTATAACTTTGGGACTATTAGAGTTTAGTTGGGCAGTCATTAATTAATTAAATCTTTTTTTTTTTGAAGACAATATATGTAACCATATATTTATATGAGGAAAAAAACAGAAGGTAGAGAAAGGACAATTGATGGAACATTGCCCAAA